ATCAGTTTGTGTCATGTATTATAGTATTGCCTTTATATTATCTGTTTGATTGGTTATCATGTATCAGTTGATGTCATGTATTATAGTTTTGTTGGGTACTCATTATGTTTTCAAAGTATAAATGACAAAAGGATTACGTAAGAGAGCGCTTGAGAGACTTTTTGGTAGACATTCTGGAGGCGACGCACATGGCTCTACGTCAGGTATTTTTATTTATTTATTATATCTGCACATTTCTATAAACTATTAATACGAGCCTAACATTAATTTTTAACATTTCCTACGCAGGCCGCATCGCTGCTACACATGACTCGTCACCACAGGACACAGGACGAGGAGATGCTCCACCTGATGCGGAGACACTCGTTGATCCTACCCAGCATGCAGAGATGCCGCCGTCGCCTCCTCCGCATGCAGATGTATTAGAGGAGCGCCGATATGAGCCATATAGCGCAGCTGTAGAAGCTGCGTCACTACCGCCGGATTCTATTCCGGATCAGCGAGCCCACGACCCGGCCAAGGTGAAGGGGGATTGGGATGCTTATCATGATTTGCGACCTATCGCACAGCATAGGTATGAACAAGCAAGGCGTAGATGCCTCGAATTGAAAGGTGTGTATAGATTTTTATAGTTTATCTGTTAATATTTTAATTTGTATTATCGATATTGATTGATTTATATTTCGCCTGAAGGTGGTACCAAGACACAGAACCTCATCCCAGATATTCATCGGAGGGCCGTGATCCGATGGGAGAACGGCGTGCCTGTCGGGCCATTTGCTAACTCTTTCAACAATTTCCTCGCCGCTTTAGGCAGGAGACATGATTTCTTCAACATATTTTTGACGTGGAAGTCGCAGCAGATTGATGCGCTGGTGGCTTGTTGGAGATATATATGTGTGAGTTCATATATTTGACGTGGAAGTCGCAGCGGATTGATGCGCTGGTGGCTTGTTGGCGATATATATGTGTGAGTCATTTATTTTATAGTTTATATTATTTTGTTTAACACACTGATTTGTATCTCTTTTTTCATTGTATGCTGAAGCGATTTTTCTTTCTTGACGATTACGCTTGTGCCTGGACTTACTGCTTCACGCAAATCAATCTATCGTTCAAGAGGTGGCGGTTTGAGCTGAAGAAGAAATATTTTATTCAAAGAACAAAAGATTGGGAGCGTTACTGGCATCTTGACGAGCGCGTGGATGGAGTTGATTTTTTTGCACTTTGCGATTATTGGGACACGGCCGAAATTCAGGTATTATTGAAGTATATATTTTCGTTTATTGTTTGAAATCTATATTATATCTGTTTAACATTGTTTTGCAGGATCAAGCTGAAACAGCAAGGAGGAACCGCAATGCGCCCCGCAGTTACGAGCATCACGGGGGCTCCAGGTCCTTCAGCCAGCATTATCATCAATTGGCGCTTGAGGTATATAATATATTAGCTCTTAGGTTATCAATTTGAGTATAATTTATGTGTTATGAGTTAATGATATATGTGAATAAAATAGGGAAGGGGAGAACTCGGGCATTTTGCAGATCGTATTCTGACTGGTTGGAGACCAAATTACGCCGATGAAGTGAAGAAAGCGCAGAACCGGGATCTGGCTGTAAGTAGCAGTTAATTTGTATATTTAATTTTTATAACAATGCATTTTAAATGTGTTAGAATTGACCGGGTTGTTTTGGTATATCGCAGGAGAAATTACATGCTAAGGTGCAGGAGCAATTATCACAGACTCAGGTCGATTCTAACACTCCGACCCGATTAAGTAGAGAGGAGGAGGATAGCATCATCGAGACGGTCATTGGACCGAGTAGGAAGAACAGATACAGGTGGAGAGGATCCGAGCATCGGCCGTACGAGTCCAGTAGCACCTACGAGTCTGCAGCTCCACCAGGATGCAGTTCTTCTCAAGACCCGACTATGGAGCAGCGGATGAAAGCGATGGAAGATTGGCAGTCGCGTCGGGAGTCGGAGCTACTCCAGATGGCGGAGGAAGAACGGAGGCGCCGGGAGCAGAGGGAGCTGGAATTCACCCAGTTCATATCGACTCTGCCTTCTGATGCTCAGGAGGCATATAGGAGACGGTTTTTGGCGGATCAGGTAATATATATATATATATATATTTCTTTTTTAATTAAATGAATTAAATATAAAATTCTTACTTAGTTATCTAAATCCGATACAAGGTGAAATCTATTGCTACGGTCAGGTACAAGACATTGTGGAGATTTTCTATGGGATTAATAATGAAGTCAGACATGTGATGTTTAAGGTTCGTTGGTGTGAGCTGAAAAAGGCGAAGGATGACTACGGTTACACACTTGTTAATCTTAACAAGGAAATATATCAGACTGAAAAGTACATGTTAGCTGCTCACGCCAAACAGTGCTTGCATGTGTTGTATTGTCGTGGTCGTTATGTGCGTGCTTGATGTTGGGTTTGGTCGTGGTGGGGGAGGGGGAAGGGTGGGGATTGGGTTGAGCTGGGTATTGTCGTGGTCGTTATGTGCGTGCTTGATGTTGGGTTTGGTCGTGGTGGGGGAGGGGGAAGTGTGGGGATTGGGTTGAGCTGGGTACTCGTGCGTGCGTGTGTGCGTGTTGGTGGAGATAGGTACGGGTGCGTGCGTGTGTGCGGGTGAGGTTAGAGTGTGTGCGTGCGTTGTTAAAAACATGTGCGTGCTTGCGTATAATACATAAAAATATGCCATGATACTCTCTCTGAATCATATAACATGTAAGAATATGCCATGATACTCTATTATTGCTATACTTGCATGTCATGCCTTGTTGTTTTATAATTTGTTACTTTACTGTAAAATTCAGTTTTTGATGATGTACGTATTGCTCTATAACGTTTTATTTATATTTTTAGGCTGGGACTTCTCGACAAGGTGGAGTTGGTGATGAGGATGATGATGATCGGGATTGATTTTATTTGTTTTAACATTGAAAACAATGGGTGTGCTGTATAAATAACATTTATGATGTTGGGATATTTATTATGTTTTTAGTGAAATAATTGTTATATATGCGTGAGAATGAAATATGTGTCATATGTGCTTGTGTTGTGTAAATTTATTGTACATGTTATTATTGTGAAATATATTGTATAGGAATTTCAAATTTTCAAATAATTTTTTAAAAAATTTCAGATTACATTTAGCGACGGATATTCCGTCGCTAAAAGATCTTTTAGCGACGGAAAACTGACACGCCAGCATATAAATACCGTCGCCAAAAAAATAGAATTTGGCGACAGATTTTCCGTCGTCAATAAAAAATAGCGACGACTAAATATATAGCGACGGAAAATACCGTCGTCAAAAAAATCGACATAAATGACGGATTTTCCGTCGCTATATATCCGACGGTGATATTTAGCGACGGATTTACCGTCACTAAAGGTAGATTTACCTACCCTGAAAATAGTGACGGCGTTTTAGCGACGGAATTTCTATTTTTCCATCGCTAAATCAATTAGCGACGGAATTTTGACTTTTGGCGACGGATTTGTCCGTCGCCAATAGTCCCCTTTGCAGTAGTGACACATCTTGGCCAATACACAATAATTACAAATATCATAGTGTAAACACATAGATTCACAAGCATATAATTATTTAAGTCTAGCTCAGACATCATGTACACTATAGAATCTGTCAATGAGATATTCTTTTTAAATCTCTCAAAGTAGAATAAGTTACAAATTTATGTGCCATGTTTTATGATATTTCCACAGTGGGCTCTAGTATAAGTGAGTATAAGTGAGATTTCGAGTAAGTATTTACAGAATCTTGTTCTATCCGAAGAAATGATTTATGGAAATAAGTATTTGTTGCCAATAGATCAAAAGTTATGATGTTCATCGATCACTCTAAATTACATCGTGTTTCCTAACCTTACATCCTGACATATGTACAGTCAGGAAAATTCTCAACAAACCAAATCGCAGGCATAGTAATGCCATCGTCTGAGCTGCTTGATCAACAGTCTGATATTTTTGACTGTCTACTGTGTTTTCTTATAAGCTTTTATTTTTTTGATCATTTCGCCATAAGGTTAAGATTAGCCACAAAACCCTGAAGTTGTTGTTTCGGATCAAAAGTAAACCCCTTACGATCGGTATCATAGCGATTTAGATTGAAAAGCGAGATCCCTAAAAAATTTATAATATCTGTCATGTGCTAGTTTAAATAAACTCTTCTGGAGTGATGATATATGTGATATACATCGATCATATATAGGAATATTAGCACTGCAAACTCTATCGTGTAGCCACTGAAAACTCAATAGGCGCAAGCTTTGGATCATCCCTAATAGCCTCCAAATCCTTCTTGTCACCATCCAAATACCCTCTTATAAATGCAACCATAACTCCACCCACAAACAACCTCATTGGCTTCCTCTCCTTCCCATTCTTACAAGTGCAATTAGATATTATCCCTTTAAGTCCCTCAGTCTCATCATCCAACACATCCATGTGCCCATACTCGTTCCCAACAAAGTACCACGAAGGAGCGCGACACTCCTTGAAGAACTCCTCATGACTCAGTCCCTTTGGTGCACAAGGCCAATTTAAACATGAAATCCTCGGTACCCCACCAAGGCCTGAACCAATTACCAATGTCGGCATGTTGAGATCAAATGAGTGAGGGTTGTGAGTGAGGACTGGAGGGAATGTTTGAATTCCTCCTAGCGGTCCATCGACTGGACAGATGCCGATTAGCGCTGAGAATTCGAGCTTGGTTTTGGCAAGGCCTAAGGCAAGGGCGAAAGCGTCTTTGCCACCACGGCTGTGGCCGGAGATTACGAGCTTGTTTAGGTTTGGTTTGATGCCAGGCAGGGCTGGAGCTAGATTGTCGATGAGCCAGTCTGTCAGCGTTGCTGCTGACTGGATTTCTCCTTCACAGTCTAGGCATGCTATTGAGTATAGCTGCAGGAAAAAGGGATATTATTGAGTGGAAGTAATTTGAATAGATTTGTGTTTTGGATGCGCAGAGAGTTAGAAAAATCATACACATGAAGATTCACAAGCTGTAGAACCTGCCAATGAGATTAAGTTCTTTTCACATCTCTCAAAATAGAATCAGATACGAATATACGTGTCATGCTTACCTACTTCAATAGTTACAAAGTCACATCTCATGTTTCATCAGAAGATTCTTCCACAATAGGCTCGAATATATGTGACATGTCGAGTAAGTATTTACAGAATTTTGAAGCATGGAGATAATAATCTGCTGCCAATCTATCAAAAATTTATGTTGTGGTGTGATATACTGTCATGAATTTACATAATGTATTGCGATCTATAAAAGAAATTTAGGTCGTGTTTCCTAAATTTATATCCTGACATAAACACAGGCAGGAAACTTTTCAACAATGCACGGGCATGGGTACTGCCAAGTATTTATTTAAATTGGATGATTTTGTATGCATCAAATATTTATCTCTGCGGTATTAGAGTATTTGTCCTTCGTATTAGGTCCAACAAAATAACATTTGTGTCGTTCAGTTTTCAACCTCTACTTAAGACTCATTATAACATATTAAAAAGATGGATTAATCCTAATAAGTGGTATCAAAGCTAAAAAATAGGGAAAGTTTCACAAAACCCCCAAAACGTTTGGACCGTTTCGAAATAACCCCAAATATTGAAGCTGTTCACTTAACCCTCATAACTTTTGAGTCCCCACAGAAACCCCCATAACTTTGAAGTTTTTCTACTACTCTCCAAACGTTGCAGTCTCCCCAATTTTTTTCAAAATATCCCTCTAATTTTTAATATTATTTCAGAGAACACACGAACTTCCAGCATTATTTTGGGGAGCCCCATGAACTTGTTAACCCTCATCATGCTGTTAGTGGTGAACGCTAAAAAGATTTTAAACTAAGCGTGAGCATTAATCGGTGCAAACTCACTGAACTGACCAAACTTCTGCAATTTGGTTCAGTTGTAGAATAACTTCGGTTCGGTTTGGTTTTGAAATATTTGTAACTAAAATAACATGATTGACCAATTTCAACTTAATTGTATAAATACTTCACTTTTTTTAGGTGAAAAGATAAAGAGTTATTTGCATGTATGCCCCTTAAGTCATGAGTATATGCGAAACTACCACCAAATCTTAGTATTTGCAAAACTAACCCCCAAATAATCAATTAAAAAAATATCTGCAAATGAATTAATCACCAACTTTGATAGGCTAATTTATAATTGGAATGTAAAAACATCAACAAGATTGTCTATTATTTACTCACCAAGTTGGTGACTTCTTGATTCTAGGGGTATTTTTTTTTTCCAAAACTGATGATTTGTGGGGTAGCTTTGCAAATACCCATGATTTAAGGGGTATATACATGAAAATAACCCAATACTAGATATACTAACATTTTATATATTTTAATTGATATAGATTCGGTTTTAGTTTGTAAAGTAGTTGATTTGACGAATTTCTCATCAACATGAGATATAAGATGAGTGAAAGGGTTGAATGAGTAAGAGCTTAGTATTTTAACTTGATATAACATGTCTATGCCCAATCTAAACAAACCGAACCAAATTGCCCCATACGGAACCGATTTGATTTGGTTTGATACGGTTTTGAATCTAGTTCGGTTAATTCAGTATGACAAAAAATAGTAAAAAACAACTGAACTGACCGTTCGCCCACCCTTGTTATCAGTGAAGATTTTGTGAAATGCTTAAAATTTTGGAGGTGAAGTACTGATATCTTAAAAATTCTGGGGTTTATCTGAAAATGGGCCAAGCGTAATCTAAATGTTTTCCAAGGGAGTCGGACTAAAATTGATTACTTGAATCGTCACAGACACCGTATAATCTTTGAATAAACAAATGGTTGTATTGTTATGTACAATAAACACTAACCTGAGGAGCTATTACAATGAACCCATGAGAAGCGACATGGTGCATAAGCTGAGAGTAGAAGGAATTAACCAGTAAATATCCATGGAGCAATAAGACCACTGGGAACTTAGTCTCCTCTCCATCAGTTGGATACTTAATTAGGAGAGGCTTATTAGGACCTGAGGGGTTGGAACGATCTTTCTCAGGTACGGTTTTCGAATCAACAGTGTATTTGCCAAGATCAAAGACACCGCAAGGCAAACTCATGCTTGAACTGTGTACTATCACTACTATTATTTCTCTAATTTTTTCTTGGGCGCTGCAGTGATATAGATTATTATATATATAGAGAGAATGTTTTACGTACCTAGCTCTTCAGCGGGAGATTCTTACTGGCTTGTGGGATTCTTACTGGCTTTATTAGCCCCGTTCTACCTTCATGAGGGATAAATATCAGTAACCTCATGCGTAGGCATAACCCGACAAATGTTAGTAATTAACCACGTGTTCTCCATATGGTTTTTGGTTAGGACCATACGGTTTTTTTTGGCTTTTTTAGCTCCTTAATTTGTCATGTATTCATGTATCGTGCAACTCGTGCTCCTCATCACTCCACAACCAGCAGCTCTCGTTCATCGTCCTTCAGCTCTCTCTCAATCGAGAAATCGTCTTCTAGTTACTCCACAACCAGCATCTGTCCTTCATCGTTCTTCAGCTCTCTCCTTCATCGTCCATCAGCTGGCCATTCTTAAACATTTTATGGAGATTTAAATGAAGAGCTTGAATTCAGGTGAGCAGGTTTTAGTTGTTAGAGTCTGCAGTGATTTTCATAGTGTATTCACATGTATACTGTAGTGAATCTGGATTCAATGCAGTGAATCAAGTTTCACTCCAGTGAATTCAGATTCATTGTAATGGATCCAGATTCAGTATATCAAAACTTAGTCATATGACTTATTATCTAGGAGCTTACATTCTTAAACATTTTATGGAGATTTAAATGGAGAGCTTGAATTCAGTTGAACACATTCTAGTTGTTAATATAGATTCACTGCATTGAATCGAGATTCATTGTTAGAGACTGCAGTGATTTTCATAATTTATTCACTTGTTTACTGTAGTTAATCTGGTTTCAATGCAGTGAATCGAGATTCACTCCAGATTAATTAGCAATAATATGAATTCAATGCAGTGAATCTAGATTCACTCTAGTGAATCTAGATTCATTGTAATGGATCCAGATTCAGTATATCAAAACTTAGTCATATGACTTATTATCTAGGAGTTTACATTCGTATACATTTTATGTAAATTTAATTGGAGAGCTTGAATTCAGTTGAACACGTTCTAGTTGTTAGAGAATGCAGTGATTTTCATAGTGTATTCACATGTTTACTGTAGTGAATCTGGATTCAATGCATTGAATCCAGATTCACTACAGTAAACATGTGAATATATTATGAAAATCACTGCATTCTCTAACAACTAGAACATGTTCAACTGAATTCACATGTTTACTGTAGTGAATCTGAATTCAATGCAGTGAATCGAGATTCACTCCAGTGAATACAGATTCATTGTAATGAATCCAGATTCAGTATATCAAAACATAGCCATATGATTTATGTTATTTTATTTTCAGTTGTAGGCAGCAATGAACAAATAAAGGAACCAAATGTTATAAATGCATCGGACAGTGATTTTAGGGAAGATGGAATGGATGAAGTTAGCTCGATTCCTTTTCAATCACCAGGTGGTGGTATGTATTGGAAACCTCGGGTTGAAGCTGAATTTAAATCTTATCTAAACCAAAGCTTCCGATCACTAGAGGTTGGTATAGAGTTTTACCGAGAGTATGGATGTAAAAATGGGTTTGAGATCAGACGACATACAGAGAAGAAACATGAGGACGATACAGTTCTTCTTAAACACATTGTTTGCAGTAGAGCTGGCAGCAATGAATCAAAGATGGATGTTGATTTTGAGGATTTTAATAGCATTTCGAAAAAGAGAAGGAGAACTGTATCTAGTAGATGTGGTTGCAAAGCTAAAGTCGTTTTTAAGTTCGATGGTTTGAAAGGATATAATGTTCTCTCATTCGTTGAAGAGCATTCTCATTTTTTGGTCTCCGGGAGCGGGAAACAATTTTTGAAGTCAAATAGAGTTCTCGGTCTCACACATAAGAAACTTGTATTTGATGGTGCAAAAGCCAACATGGGGCCTAACAAAACATATAACTTTGCTAAGGAGTTGTGTAGAAGTTATTCTAATGTTGGTGCTACGTGTACCGAGTTTAAAAATTGGAGTAGGGATATGAAGCTTTATATTGGTGATCGAGATGCTCAAATGATCATCGAGAAGTTCACGGATAAGAAGGAGATGTGTGATGGATTTTTCTATGATTATGCAGTCGATGAAGGGGGTTGATTAACTCGCATTTTTTGGGCAGATGTTATTGGTCGAAGAAATTACGATGTATTTGGAGATGTGATATCATTTGACTCTACATATTCCACAAACAAGTAAGATCTTATAGTTAATCTCTTACGATTTTCAATATTGTTATTATATATCATAGTGAATCTTATATTTTTTGTATGTGATACAATAGGTACAACATGAAGTTTGTTCCATTCACTGGTCTCGACAATTATAAGAAGTGTGTTGTATTTGCAGCAGGATTGATAGTTAAAGAGGACATTGATAACTATGTCTGGATTTTTGAGGTATTCATGAAATGCATGATTCGCGAGCCAAAGTGTATTGTTACAGATCAGTGCCCTGCCATGAAGCAAGCTATACCAACCGTCTTTACAGAAGCACGTCACCGTTTGTGCATGTGGCACATCATGAAGAAATTTAACCAAAAGGTAATGAATCCCACATATAAATATATAAATATCATGAATCCTCATTAGATAAATACTGAATCTTTCGTTATATATTTATATTGTAGTTGGCAAAATGCATTTCGAAGATGGATGATTTCAAGAGGAAGATCAATGCACTGATTTGGAGTATAGATATAGATCCAGCAACATTTGAAGTAGGTTGGAAAGATGTTATGAAAGAATATAAGCTTGAAAGTAATGAATGGTTGTGTGAACTGTATAACATTCGGGAGTCATGGATTCCAGCCTATTATGCTGATGATCCATTGGCTGGTTTATTGCGTACTACATCAATATCAGAGAGTGAGAACAGTTTTTTTGACAAATTCAACCGTAGATCTGACACATTGACAGAATTTTATCTCCGATACGAGAGTGCTATGGAGAAGCAAAGGCATACAAACGCAAGATTAAACTATGAAGGAACAAAGTCGATGCCAAGAATGGACACGCCATTGTTATTGGAGAGGGATGCAGCAGAGTTGTACACTCGAACAATGTTTTATGAGGTACAGAAAGAGATAATGTCATCCTGTTATGATATGAGTATCAACAGTATATCAGAAGAAGATGGCGTGAAGATTTTTTCCATAAAGGACAAAAAGAGACATGGAAAAATATTTGAGGTAAAACTTAATAATGGAGATTGAAACAATAAAAATTGAATCCAGATTCAATGCAGTGAATCGCGATTCAATGAAGTGAATCTCGATTCACACCACTGAATCGAGATTCAGTGACCATTTCATGCGCTTGTCATTTCTTTTTTTATTCGGTGCTAATATACATTGTTTTTTGAATTTTAGGTGAAACACGCTTACTTGAACAATGACGTGCAATGTACGTGTAGGCTGTTTGAGAAAATAGGTATAGTATGTAGACATGGTTTTTTTGCACTGAACCAAGCTGATGTAACAAAAATACCAAGACATCTTGTTGTGAACCGATGGACAAAAGGTGCTGAGATGAGGCATTCATTGCAGTTCAAGGAAATATCAGAACAATGTAATGCAATTGAAGTGATTGATGCGCACGAATTGGTTAACATGCACGAGTTGAATGATGCGTGCGTGTTAACTGACTATTGGGCGCGTTTGTACGCTTTGAGTTGATTAACGCGTGCGGTCCACTTGGCGTTTGCGCTTGTGGTGGTTTGTTGTCGTGTCATCAACAGTTTGCCGATTCGCTTCATGCGCTTGTCGGCGTTGGATGATCCTCTTTGATTCGGATAACGACGTTCATCACCTTCTCTTTGTCTTGAGCTGTGTGCGGGCACCCATAGGCATTTTTAGACGCCTACAGACACCCCCTCCAAAGTTCTCGAGCTGTGTGTGGATACCTATAGGCATTTTTAGACGCCTACAGATACCCCCTCCAAAGTATTCCAGACTCATTCTTTTATTGAGGAGTCTGGAATGCTTTGGATAAGATAGGCCATCTCCTCAATTTCGTAGAGTGACCTTGAACTATCTCAATTCTTAACTTCTTCAGCCTTCAATCTATTCATTGTTTCGTCGAATAGGTAAAGTTCTTCCGGCGCTGTGTTTATCGTCTGACCGCTGTCGAAATCTTGAACTGAGATTGGTGTGTAACTTTCTGAACTTAGCTCGTGCCATTGAGTTGGCTTTGAACTGATCCTCTCCGTCGGGAATTCATATCTGATTGTAACTGAAATCCTTGGAGTCATCTTTTGCCTTATTTTGGCGAAATTGCTGATGCGTTGACCGGCATCGATCTTTACTGTAACGCGTTGACCGGCGTTAACACAGTTTATACTCGTACGTTTGCTGGAGTCTACACAGTTTAAGCTCTTAAGGCATTGGAGCGTGACGGTCCCGAATGTTGGGCTGCAGGACCAACTATTAAAGCTGATTCATCTGCACGTGTGGATCTTATCCTGAAGTTTGTTGGATGTTCAAGTCATGAGACCAACTAATGAAGCTGATACGTCAATGACGCGTATTTATAGAATTTTTCGCAAATTCTCAGCCATCAACGGGTTTGATAAGCCTTTACCGACTACCGTTTGAGTCGGGCTAGCATGCGGATTGTTTAAGTCCGTTCTGCATGTAACGTTATGCTAAAAGAGTTAACTCTTTTAGTGCTACGATATTGAATACGTAGACTTCGTCTTTCTCCTGTGAAAAGACTAAACAGCGACGTGTATCAGACGTAGACTTTAAGGTTTTTGGCAAACCCTCAGCCTTCAACGGATTTGGCGTGCCTTTACCGATTACCGTTTGAATCGGGCTTGCATGCGGATTGTTTAAGTCCGTTCCGCACGTGACGTTGTGCTAAAGGAATGAACTCCCTTAGACTTGATGCTACGATATTGAATACGTAGACTTCGCCATTGTTACGGGAATAGGCTACCCGACAACGTGTATTAGACGCTGACCTATCCCTACTTAGGCTTCGGGATAAAAGTCCCCAGATTGGAATTCTGGTGTCTTCTTCAATCGGTGAAAGACTAAACCGGCAACGCGAGTTAGGCGTTGACTTATCCCTACTTAGGGTTCGAGATAAAATTCCCCGCGCGTGTGAAGCACGGATTTTGGCGTTATGAATAACGACATGCCACAATGTCGAATATGTGGACTTTTGTCCTTTTCACGGCAAAAGACTAACCGGCAACGCGTGTTAGGCGTTGACTTATCCCTGCTCAGGATTCGGGATAAAATTCCCCATGCATAAAAGGCATGGATTTTTGTTGCTACGATGCTGAATACGTAGACTCGGTCATTTTTACGGGAACGAACCACCCAGCAACGCGGGTTAAGCGTTGACTTATCCCTACTTAGGCTTCGGGATAAAATGCCCCAGACTGGATTCTGGTGTCTTTTTCAATCGGTGAAAGACTAAACCGGCAACGCGTGTTAGGCGTAGGCTTATCTCTATTTAGGAGTTGAGATAAAATTCCCCGTGCACAAAGTGCACGGATTAGAAGTTGGGAATTGTGTCTTTTTTTCATGGTAAAGACAGATTGGAAAATGGAAGAGGAAGAATTTTATATTCTATCTCCCGGCACTGAAGAGGAAGAATTTTATATTCTATCTCCAGTTGCAAAAGGAAACTCAAAGTGGGATCTCCACTTCAAGAATCCGGGAATGTGAAACTAAGAGTGGGATCTCTGGTGTTAAGTGATAAGGACTTAACGCGAAGGGGTTTGACAATTCATCAAGGATTGACAGATTAAAATTCTAAGCATTATATCCGGACTCTAACCATGAAAGTGTTGAGTGCACGAACATAGCGAAAGTTTGAATGGATTAAACAGGAAAGAATTTTGGTGGTCCCACCGTCAATTAGTCTGATCGGTGGGGGACTCTGTGGTGGGAGACTATGAGTCGTCAAGCACCAGTGAGAGTTTTGTGAGGGAAAATTGATCCAATGAAGTGATCGAATTTCATCTCAGCAAACGAGTGTTCGGAAATCACAATGGGGGTTTAGTGTATATCACTTTGTTTGTAATGATCGGGTTATCCCTAAGAAAATTACATATAGTATTCTTTCGGGAACTCCCCGTTACAAGAATCATCCACACCCAGCTTCTTCGCGAAACTGAGTTTATCATTGCATTCGGTTACATGATCGGGTTATCCTTAAGAATATTACATATAAAAATTCTCCTGGAACTTCCCGTCAATGGTAGGAAATAGTTTAGACTCATATACCAATTGGAGTATCAGGGAGCAGTTTAACCTCTTATACCGATCGGAGGATTAAGAAGCAGTTTATACTCTTATACTTGTCGGAGTCTGGAGAAGCAGTTTATACTCGTATACTCTTCGGAGTGTTCATTCGGTTTAATTGAGCGATATAACGCCGGCTTCAACCAAGGTCTGGATGCTATTCTTAAGAGCGAAACAAGACTTGGTAGGATGAAGGATCCTCCTGTGGTACGCACAGTACTTCGGATCCGCAGTATTATCAGTTTCCTCCTGATCTGGGATAGGTGGTAGCTTAATCTTGTTATTTTTAAGGAGAGACTCGAAAATAGCCGGAACATCTTCGTCCTTGAAGGAGTACTCTTTTTGGAGTCTCGGATCCGAAATCTTTTGCTGCCTTCAGGGTTTTTGCGATGTCTGATTAACGTCTACAACCGCTGCATGTGCCTTTCCTTTACCACGGGAGGCAAAGTTTGAGTTCGGAAGATTCGCCGTCGGTTGGCTCCTCTCGGCTTTCTTTCTTCGGAGGAAGCGTTCGGCCCGCTCTCCGCGCGTCTTCAACTCTTTCCAAGTGTTGGACGGTGCGACTCCCATAACTTCTAATATCTCAATAGATAGGTTGTTATGACATGTCTGGAGGATGAAGTCCTCCGTGATCGGATCTCGGCAGTTCATTGCTTTATTCCGAAAGCGCTTGACGAAGTCGTCGACTGTCTCGTCATCTTCTTGTTTCTCATCGAAAAGTGTCCTGATGGATACCTCATCGTCGTCATCAAAGAAGTTACCAAGGAATGAGTTCTCCATATCGTCCCAGTTGTTAATACTTCCGGGCTTGAGACGGCGGTACCAATCGAAGGCCGGCCCGCGAAGGGTGCCAACGAATGACCGAACCATCAAGGCTTCATTGCCGGAGATCATACCCAAGTGGGACTTGAAGTAGATCAGATGTTGAGTGGGTGAACCCTTCCCGTCAAACGGCGTGAAGTTAATCAAGTTGAACTTCGCCGGGTATGCTATTGTGTCCCACTCTCTTGGATATGGACATGGAATGCCAGTCCTCTTTACCTCTCGATCAGACATTAGAGCGTTGATTTTACTCTCGAGATCTTTCATTTTCTCATCCTCGCTCGTATCGGGCTTTGGACGATTCTTAAGAGGAATAACGGGGCCACCCCCAGCGTTGTCGTCTTTAGTGGGGCCACCCCCAGCGTTTTGGTCAACGAGAGGGTTATCAGCATTAAGGCGTTCATCCACATCTGAATCGCTACCTACTTGGTTAGCAGCGTTGCGACGGCTGGATTCGCCCATTTGATTGGAAAGAGCCTGAATCTGTCGGTCGTGCTCTTCCTTCATCTGTTGCATAGCCGTTTCTATTTCGAATTTAAATGCTTGCTTCTGCTTGGCTAGAGCATCCTCAACCATTTTAGCTGCTTCTTCGGTGTTAATCATAAACACTTCGCGGGATTGCCCTGGGCTAGATACCGTATTGTCAGAAGCGACTGCAGAGTTAGCATCCGATGCTTCATCGTCCGAGGATAACCCTCTCTGCATTCTTTGGTAGTCCCTACGTCTAGTGGTCCCTGATCGCAACCGGGTTAGACGATGAGATATAAGCGGGTCAGAGCTAGAAGGTCGAATCGACTTTCCCTTATCAGCCATATTTATTGTGACTTCCGGAGGTTCGTCACCTTGAACGGCAGATTGTTTCTTGCGGAAACATTTTGGCTTGGACTTAGTTGCTCCATTAGATATCCTCTCAAATACCGAGACCCTTTGTGGAGTGGTCTTGGGGCAGCTACAAGCTAATAATACTACCCTAATAA